GAACTCTCGTCTTTTTATGTCAAACCTTCTTAAAGCCTCTCCCAATACAATCCCTTGATTTGGTTTACTTAACCCTTCCTTTTATTCAGTTTTAAAGAAATTCCATTCCAATCTTGAGATATTTCTTTATTCTCTCTCTACAGAAATTCCTACATATTGCAGGAATTTTAACAATAGGCTAGCTGCTTTTTTTTATCAATAACAGAAACTTTTATTAATAAAAGGAGATGGAAAAGATACAACAAGAAAGGGGGTAAATCTCTTACCCCACCCTAAAAAAAATCACATTACAATACAGCCCAAAAGAAACTAGTTCTTCCCACCCTTTGTTTAGCTAGATAATCTGCAAAAGAATTGGCACTCCTCTTGGACCATTGAAACTGAATTTGCATGTCTTGAGTGAGCTGGTAAATTTTCTTTTTTTAATTCGAGAACTTCCATAAACTAGCCTCTTCCTTCTGCAGCCAGTTAATAGCCAGTTTAGAATCACCCTCCACCAGCAGCTTCCAATAGGCTAGCTTCTTAATCACCTCATACAGCACTATAGCCCTAGACAAACCCTCATTCCCCCTTATAAGCCCACCTCTAGTCCCTCAATCCCAAATTTTGGATCTAACTCCTCACCATTATCATTCAGTTTTCAGTTTTGCCCCAACTTTGTTACCAATAGCCTTGGATCATATCAGTCCTACATCAAAAGGTTATAATTTATATGTAATGGTATGCTATAAATTTTTTTTTGATAAATGTAATGGTATGTTATAATTAACAACTGTGATTTGAAATTATTAATCTCCACTGCATTTCTAAGAGTTCATTGCCAAAATGGTTTAATTCTTCCTGTACAGAGTTATGGTTTCATGACATGGATATTTGAAATTTATCACCTTTGTCTTGATTGTCCACTTGTTTATCTTTAATGTTGTGTATTATTCTTTAAATTCTTCAGCGCATCAGATGATCATGTGTCAAATTATTATTTTCTAGGCTTTCAAGGCATATTCCTGGAAATAATGTTAAAATGAGCTTTTCTACCTGTATGCTAGTGCATGCCTGGTATTAGAGGTAAACCTACATGGTTAAGATTGGCAGCAGTTTGAATTATTCCTGATATGGAGGCACACATTATTCCATTAATTTAGTATTATTATGTGCACTAAATCTCTTTCCTTGTGAGCTTCATTGTTATTTTATCAGAAAATAAAAAGAGAAAAGAAAATATTATTTCCTTGTATTAGGGGAAACAAAATGATGTTAGCATGTCTTCTATTAAAAAACTTCTTTGATTTATGATTTTTTTTCCTTTTTTATTTTCTATCTTTGGAATCTTTGTCTGCCTTGTGATAGCTGCATGGATGTGTTTTGGATGCCTAGTTTTTTATGGTAATCATTCTTGGCACCTCATAACCATGTCCAAGTTTAGAAGATGGTATTTTGCAACTAACCTGATGGTATTTGAATAGCTTAGTTTCATACTAAGCTATTTGCAATTACATGGGTAACATGCTGTTTGTTCTAAATTTTTAATTGGTTGGGATATCTGTTTGACGAGCCATAGTCCCCCAGTCAGACCGGTGTCTTAATTCTAGTGACAATTTAAGATCAAGCAAAAAGTACTTGATGGGCTGACTTTTGGACCTATTCAGAAAATTTTAAAATCTTTAAAAATTGTTTTAGATCAAGCAAAAAAAATTCAATGGGCAATTGTTTTCAAATCTTTATAAAGATTTATTTAGGTTATTTAGGACCTATTCAAAAATCATAATGAGTTTTTCTATTATATTGTAGGTTAAATATCCATTGACTGTGGGCTGACTTTTAAGTGTAAAATTAATTATATCATTCTCTGTTCTCTAGTGCACAAGCAGTCAAACCTGTTTATTATATACATATATGGTGGATATGGATTAAACTTGGGTAGCTTTACTTTGCTATACATATTTTAGTCTTTTTTATTTATGTTTCTAATTTTGTGACAAATTTTTAAAAACGAAAGTATTCTTATGATCTTTGATATGATTCAATTCAATTTAATTCAACCTTCTCTACAATTTATGGTATGAGTATGATTTCAGAACATCCCTCCCCTCCCAAGGAAAAAAAGAGAAAAAATTAAAGTTAAATTTTGTAGCAGTTATTTTCTTTTGGACAAACTACATTATTAAAGATCATGCTTCTCATGTAATCTCTTTTTTTAATAAAATTTTCTTTTATCCTTCAAAAAAAAATTATTAAAGATCATGTCTGGATTTGAAAAGGGGAAAAATCTATTCTGTCAACAACACCATTCACTCAATTACACCTATAGTTCACTTTGAAAACTCACTTCAGATTACAGTGCCAAGGAAGAAAGAGAAATGTAGAAATGTGTTAAGTTGATATTCAAAATTGCTTATGGGACGAACTTCATTATAAAAATTACATCTAGGCTAGGCCCACTAGGGAAACCTATCCTTTGTGCCCTGCTCATTTGACACTTGGGAATTCAACTTCAAATTACAGGGACCAAGGAAGAGGAGAAAGAAATGAAAGCAGTGTTTGGTAACATTCAATTTTTACATTCCAAAATTCTAATGAAGTTGTCATGTAATAAGATCAATTTTGGTTCTGTTTATGGTTACCTAGAAACTGCCAGTAGAACTAGAAACTTCACAAGGAGGAGCAAGTTACCTGCATTTTACTTCTAATAAATGCTTCTTTTTTTGTGATGATGTTAAATGCAGGTACCAGCAACTCTAGGACCAATAATTGTCATCTCATGGTTCAGAAAGGAGCTCCCAGAGCTATGGGAAGGAACGAAGTCAAACCTGAATGACAAGTCTCGTTTACTGGAGGTCTGAACTGTGATATCCATCCTCCAGCAACCATAGCACTCACAGAGGCAACTCATACTGTAAATCCCAGCCAGATGGTTTTGCTCTTATCGGAAGAATATTAATATAGCAGTAACAATTCAATGTCTATTACTTTCTTATATGGTATTTAAGCCTCACCTGATATTTGACGTATTCACACATTCTCCTTGTTTATCTCCCAAATACACGGCATATATGATCTAAGGAACTTGTAAATTTTGCTTTCAAGCTGTCTACAGCAAGAGCAAGGCCTATTTAGAATTTGCTGCATATTTGTTTGTTAGAGGTGGTAAAAAGTTGAAATGAAACAAAGGCTTAGTTTAGAAACAGTACAAATACAAATATGTGCGGTGCAAATACATACAAAATAATACGAAATACAAGTATTTTCACTCTACATATTTGTATTTGTACTCCTTCCAAACTGAGCCAAATTTGTATTGGAGGCTGCCATGGCCCTTGTGTGTATGTGTTGGGGGGATAGGGGAATATCGAATATGAATTAGCGGTTTGCATCATGGTTTTGAAAACCGAACTAGACCAGATGGTTGGACCGGTTGACTTGGGAACCAGTCAGATAAGTGATTCCCTTTCACCCTAAAACCGCTCCTGGGCCAAAAACAGCTGATTTGGTCAAGAGCCGACAGCGCTGTCTGAGTATAATATAGTGTGTTTGGAACTATGGGTGTTTTTTCAATAAATGCTGCCATATAGGTGCCACTTCAACATTTAGCCCATCATGTTGATCTGTATGCATAGACTCGCAAAAGGTGGCCTTGATTTATGTGCACGCTTACTGTTGGGGGAAGCTTCATTTTAATGCTTCCCCCATAGGTAGGCGTCTATTTACTGTTATGCTGTTGTGGTGCCTAATGGTTCCTAGTTGTCAATAAAGGGTTTTATTATTACTTTTTGTGGTTTTGCAAACAAATCAAGTATAAACATTTAGTGAATAAATGGAAGCTATACCAAACACATACATCGCCGATCTTAGAAGAGATGACCCATATGCCGGTCTGGGTCCCCACGACTTGCCACCTGTCTCATGTTTGAGTAATCAGGAAACTCGGTCGAATCAAATGGTTTTCAGTGAAAAAAATCCCTGCTAAACTAATGGCTGTACTTGAATTCAGCGTAATTAGATGATTGCTGGCTATTTTAGTACCAGAAAAACAGGTTATCTGAATTAGGGAACTTTCTTTAAAAATATCGAACATTGAGGTATAAGTGTTACACACACGATATAAATTTTGATTGATGAATGAAAACAAAATATGTTTTGTGAGACAGGATTTGAATCGTGGACTTTTATGTGCACACGGGAATGAAGCTTCCCCCGATAGTTAGGCGTTTATTTATTGTTATGCTGATGTGGTGCCTAATGGTGCCTAATTATCAATAAAAGATTTTATTATTATTTTTTATACTTTTGCAAACAAATCAAATATAAATATTTAATGAATAAATGAAGGTTATACCAAACACATACATCGCCGATCTTAGAAGAGAGGAAACATATGCCGGTTTGGGTCTCCGCGACTTGCCACCTGTCTCGTGTTTGAATAATCAGGAAACTCGGTCGAATCAAATCATTCCTGCTAAACTAATGGCTGTACTTGAATTCAGCGTAATTAGATGATTGCTGGCTATTTTAGTACCAAAAAAACAGGTTATCTGAATTAGGGAACTTTCTTTAAAAATGCCGAACATTGAGGTATAAGGGTTACACACACGATATAAATTTTGATTGATGAATGAAAACAAAATATGTTTTATGAGACAGGATTTGAACCATGGACTTTAGTGTGTGAGATTAGCATGATAGCCAACTACACCACCCAGACTTCCTCTATGTCAGAGAATCAAATTTAATAATATATTTCAAGGGATTCTGATAACAACTAAAACACATTTCCCTTTTTTTTCTTTGATTAAACACATTATCTCAGAGATGTACACATTTCCCTACGTGATTAAAGAAATCAAAGAATCCAAAAAAAACACAAGATTTGAAAATCAGATTTCTGACGGGAATTGCAGTCCAAAAATCCCAAGAATAAAGAAGAACGCTTACACGACTATCCACAGTTTGTCTGACTACAAAATGTGAAATAATAGAATAAACACAGAAGATGCCAAACATATCTATCCGCCATGAGGGGCTCTTTTGATGACAGCAAAAAGAAAGCAGTCGTAGTAAGGATCCCAATACATCCCAATCTCGTCTCGTGCCTGCAAATCCCTTCTCTTCACAAACTGAGCATTCCAGTTGTCGACGAGAACGTAGCTATTGCTGGTAGACCATTTCTTGAAGGTCAGTTCATGGTTCGTATTCGTCTCCACATCCTTTATCACCACTCGTGTACCTTCTCCGTTCTCCGCCCTTTCTACTTCCCCTGCTCCCAAGAATGGTAGAATGAACCTCTGAACTAGGTTTGTCCCCAGAAGCAATCGAGAGAGTCCGTTGACGTCACTTACTTTTAGCTTCTTCCTTATGACGTAGCGATCCTCATGCAACGTAAGTGCTGTGGATATACCAGGAGGTTCGTTCTCTTGTAAATGGAGGAGGTTGTTTCGGTTCATGTCCACTGGTCGATCATTAATTCTCTCCAAACCAGGTACGTTGTAAAAGACTGGCTCCAGCTCCACTGTGTTTTTATTCGTTTCAGCAAGGGTCTCCATGGGTCTACTGATAGAATGAGAAGCAGAAGAGCTAGATTCCCCTATCATGGGTTGTTTTCCTTTGCATTGGTTTGCACCACCGAGGAGAGAAAGATGGGGTTTCTTAACTGGTATGGGTTTGATTAGTTGGGGAGCATCCAAGAAATTGAAATCGCCCTCTGGTTTAAGTGGTCTCTTACCCAGTTTGAGTTGGAGATCAAGCACATTCTCCATTACAGAAGAAAGAAAGGGAGTAGGTGAAATGTTAGGCCAAGAAGAAGGAAGGGATCGGAATTGTTGTTGTGGAGTAATGAAGAGCAGAGTAGATGAGAGTCTTATTTATACAGATTAATTAAAGGAGTTGGAAATATATAGAAACTTCTAAACTAAGTAGAAGTAGGAGTGAGATATTGTTGGAAGTAGAATCCGATATTGACGTAATGATGTTTTTGGTTGCAGTGCAATTTTATTTGCACTGATGTAAAACTATGGCGGTGAAAACGTTTTAGGTGTAAATTTTGATTTATTTTTGTTTCAAATTTTAACTTACATTGTTTAGTTGCAGTATAAAATCTAAAACAAAATTAAACCAAAATTTGCATTCTTATACGTTTGTACTAGTACAAATAAAATTGTACTGCAATCAAACACGCCCAGAAATAGAAACGTACGACAGTTAATTTCATATATGAGTGAACATGTCTTTCTATTATTAGAAAATCACCGAATGAGTAAACAATAGGCGGACAGGAGCAAAACTGAGAAGTGAAATAATCCTACGAAGTTTCCATTTTAGAGACTTCCCTGTTCAAGTAAAATAAGGAAAACTAAGAGTTTCTCGTTAGGAAGTTTCCTATTCTGTGTGTAAGTGAACTGAATTTCATTTTCCATTTTGAATTCATTTTCGACACAGGACTCCAATAGTTCGACTAGCTTTTCCACTAAATTTCTGAAACCTCCTCCGAAGGTTCTGCTCATTGTTTACACCTCCCCCTAAGTTTGGTAATTGCAATCACTTCCCTTGAAGTTTCTAATAGTTGTTGAAACCTCCCTTAAAGTTTGGTAATTGCAATCACCTCTCTCGAACTTTTTGTTATAGTTGAGAGCAGATTCCCTCTAACAAGAGGTACAGAAAATGTCCAAAATACCCATACAGTTAATATGAGGCTGGTTCTTATAGAAAAAACAATACAAACTTTATGAATAACAAAAAAAGTGATTGATATAAAAGGCAAATTTAGGAAATAAAACAATTTCAAAATAGAGATAGAAAGGGCTTGGACTTTGGGGAAGAAGATTGATATGAAGAGAAAATTTGAAAAATAAACATTTTGGTGAAAAGTGTCTGTATAGGTATTTTGGACAATTTTAAGATGATTCTAATAGAGGGGATCTACTTGCAACTGTTTTAGAAAGTTCAGGGAGGTGATTGCAATTACTAAACTCAAAGAGGAGGTTTCAGTAATGATCATAAATTTCAAGGGAGATTTTAGCAATTTACCCCTCAATATAAATGACCCCTGGATTAGGTTAGGTAGTGAGGCCTGGGGATAGCAATTTTCCCATCTGGATGGATACTCAACTTCCCCGACCTAATGGGTGGGGGCGGATTCAAATCATACCTTGTATGCTTTTTGTTGGGTAAATGGCTCATTTCAGGGGCCTTGCATGCTTAGTCTGGTCATTAGAGAGCCGAGATCCTTAATTGTTGCCTAATTTGTACCGATCTTTTACAAATATCAGCAATACAAAATTAATTGAGATAAAGCTTCATGCTCAGCAGAGGGACCTTCAGGTTCTTTATAGTTTTGAACATTGAACAGGTACATAAACTAGGGTATATTAGAAAAATATTTTTCTGTACAACACAAGTTTGTAACAAGCACATGTGGGACTGCATGTTATATTCATGTCTTCTTTTTATTTTCTTTCTTTCTTTTTTTATTGTTTTGATGAAATACATTTTTGAGTAACAAAGGTTCAAAGTATCGATACCGGTAGGGCGTATTGGCCTGTATCGATCCTTTTTTTTTGTTTTTTTTTTTTAATCTGGTTCAGAGAAGCCGATTTAAGGCCGATCTACCCCTGAACCACTTGCCGACCTGAAACACCCCCTGTAGGGATGTATCGGGAAGGCTCCAATGTATAGGGGTGAGCATTTGGTTTTTCGGTTCAAAACCAAACCAAAAAAACCAATTTAGCATTATTATAAATCGAACCAAAACCGAAATATTTAAAAACGGAATAAATCGAACCAAAAAATTTTTCCGATTATTTCGGTTAAAACCGAAAAAAAAATCAAAATCAATCTATAAAAAAGAAACTCCAATGAGAAATCACATCATCCAGGTTTCGGAGGGTTGTGATGTTTGTTAGTGCTATTGGGAATGAACCTGACAGGCGGTTTCCCATAAGAGAGCTGCATTGTTACCGAGGATTAGCACTGTTCCGATTAATCAACCATTTTTCAATCAGTCAAAAACAATGAAGTAATGAAAGCTGGAAGCTTCATGGGTGCTTACAGGTCGAGCAAGCTCATGGCAGTCCATTGTGAAGGTACAGAACCACTGTGAAATTTGGCAACAATGTCAAAAACCAAAAGAAAATTAAGTGGGCTGTGAGCTAGGTCTGAGTCTACGGCAGTCGGAAGTCTGCCTGAGTGCAGTCGAGAGAACTCAGAGTCAGAGAAGAGATTGAGCCATTGAGTAAGCCAGGAAGGAAGACTGGAAGAGGCGAAGAGCTTAGAGCGCAGCGGAACTGAGTCTGAGTCTACGGCAGTCGGAAGTCTGCCTGAGTGCAGACTGCAGAGTGCCCGGGGCTGGGACTTGGGAGGACTCTCGAGTCTCGACTCTGGAGTTTGGTTTCTGTTTCCGTTCTGGAGTCTGGAAACTGGAACTGGAAGCGGCGAACGGCCGAAGCGGATTAGCGGTCTAGCGGACTGTGGATTGTGGAAGACGAAGAGTTTTCCAATTTCCACTTTTGCTGTTTTCGAATTTCGACTTTACGTGTGTAATAGTAATACGATATTTATTAATTAAATTATAATATAAATAATATTAAAAATATATAATTATAAAACTAAATCGATTTTTTCGGTTAACCAATTTAACAAATATGGTAACCGAAGCTAAAACCCAAAATATACAAAAATCGAATAGCAAAACCGAACCCGACCGAAAAATTGAATGGACTGAATCGATCAACCGAAACTAAAATTTCGGTTTGGTTTTTCGATTTTAACCAAATTGTAATCACTTCTACCAATATAATACTTATTGGCCAATACAGATCGATACTTTGAACCTTACAAAATAACACATATGCCAGCACTACTAGCTACACAAAATTTATAATATATATCATGCTTCCAGCCATTATATTTGTTTCATTTTTGTGCGGCCATTGAGTTATTATAATTATGTTCCTTTTGATATTACATACTTGCATGAATATACTATTTGACAAAAATGTGCTATAACATGTAAAAAGAATTGGATGGTCAGATCAGTGTTAAGTCACAGCTACCTCACATCAGACAGGCTTGCTATAACTGCTTTATCTAAGTTACCAAACGGCATCCAGCTCTCTTGGAATCCACAAGGGTATTGGAAAGGAGTTCAGATTGTATTCTCTTAGTCTATATTTGGTTTGAAGGAAAAGGTGGGGAAAGAAAGAGAGATAGAGAAACCAATACAAGGTTTGTAAAGATTTTCCTATCTTTCTTTTCCTTTTCTTACATTTTCCTTCAAATCAAACATAGCCTTAGATAAATAATACTTTAGTAAGTGGACTGGTATAACGATTCTTAATAAAGGAGTTTCCTTTATCATCACTTGCGGGAAAATGGAATTAGTAGACAGAATTGAAGAATACAAAGAAATGCATCTAGGGTAAAGTTTAAGGAACTAAAATTATAGCAATTACACACTTTTCCCCACAAGTAGCAACCTGAAAGTTAGATCAACATACTCTCCAATTGCAAATCAAGAAACAAATTCACAAAATCTTAGAACAGTGTATGATAAAGGTACAGAAATACAACTTAACTAAACCTAAAACTCTATAAAATGAGAATCCTTTTTCTAACCTAACCTAAAACTAAACAAACCAGAAGTGACAGAGAATGGCAACTCACATTATATGGAGAAGTTTTTCCTGCATGAGGGAATTTGGTACTTGGAAACTAATGCACTCATATTTAGGACTAAATTCTACTTGGATCAGCCTAGATCTCTAACCAATTGTCTAGCAATAATTGATGTCTTATTACTGTATATTTTGGAATATGATTTCATTATGTGATTCTCATTATCTGCATGCTAGGAGTTGAAAATTAAAGGTTTCACTTTCATTATATGAGATGCGTTTGTCCAGTTATTGATATCTTAAGGATGACCATTTAAATCCTGATAAGGCAAGTTTACTTCTTGTGCATGTCCAAGATGAAAATGACAACTTTTCCATATGCTATGTTGCTTTTCATCGTGGCAAACTGGAGGTTTTTAAGAGCTTTGGGTGGTTTGAAGAAAAGATCCTTTTGGCTTTTAAGAAAAATACATTTTGTTTGGCATGTTTAGAGATGAAGCTCAATAGAGCTATGGATTTCTTTATCAACACCATGAAGTTGGAGCCCTCACTGATAATTTCACACCCTAAGTATACATGGGTTAAGCCAAGGTATATATGGTTTTAAAGGTATTAGATTCAAGGAAGCTGATAGGTGGGGGGGGGGGGGCAAAAACTTTTTTTTATTTGAAGAAGGTAAAGTAAAATTTTGTTAATTTGAAATAAAATAATACAACAGAGTAGGATGTCCCTATTAAATTAATCTTCTTCTTGATCTGAGGCAAGATGATGGTAATATTAAAAATACTAGCCTGAGAAGAACAAGCTGTTTTAAGTTTTAACAACTACTAGAAAGGTCAATTCTCTGGCCAGTTTTCTAGAATCTTCCAGGAAGACTTGGGACAAATTAAGATGCAGGAAAAAACTATGGTGTATCCGGAATTGTAGGTAAGGGTGTCAATTGGACTGAATTTGGTCCAATCTGATTCAGAGTCCAATATGAATCCATTATAAATGGACTAGATCCAATTCAATTCAATGAATATTGGATCATTTTGGACCAGTCCAATTCAATGTCTGGACCATCTATTCAAATTCGTTTTAATTTAGATTGGTTTCAATTCAAATCTGGTCTGTTGATATATATATATATATATATTCAAATCTGG